GATCTCATCCGGTCCAGAAATTTTTCACAGAGAGATGTCGCACCTTCTTTCTGGAATACCAGGAGTCATATGCAATATCGATGACATTCTCATTAGTGGAACCAGCAAACAAGAGCATGATGCCAGAGTTAGAGATGTGTTGCGAAAGCTGAAAGATGCCGGTGTCACTCTCAACGAGAAATGTCAGTTCTCAGCAGATAAGATGAAATTTTTGGGACATATCATATCACAGAATGGAATTGAAATTGATCCAGATAAGATCGAGGCCATTACAAATCTTCCTCATCCAGAGAACGTCTCAGACTTTAGGCGTCTATTAGGCATGGTAAATCATGTTGGCAAATTTATTGACAACTTGTCAAGCATGACAGCGCCACTGAGGGAGCTCCTAAAGAAAGAGAACTGTCCCTGGATTTGGAATGAACAGCATCAACTGGCATTTCAGAAAATCAAAAGAGCGCTGACTGAGACTCCAGTTCTTGCCCACTACGACCCAAACTTTGAGACAAAAGTTTCTGCTGATGCAAGCAAGTCTGGCATAGGAGGGGTACTGTTCCAGAAATGTGGCGAGCATTGGAAACCAGTGTTATATGCGTCAAGGTCTATGAGTGGTGCAGAACAAAGGTATGCCCAAATAGAAAAAGAAGCACTAGGGATCACATGGGCTTACTGAGAGATTCTCAGATTTCCTGATTGGATTGAGGACATTTCAAATAGAAACAGATCACAAACCACTGATAACACTCCTTCAGAGGAAAGGACTGGATGACCTCCCTCCTAGAATCCAGAGGTTCAGAATGAGACTAATGCGATTCTCCTACACTGTTTTTCACACAGCAGGAAAGAATTTGCATGCAGCTGATATGTTGTCCAGAGCTCCCCTGAGAGAAACAAGTGAAAAGGATAGCTTATGAGAAGATGCAGTGAACTCATTTGTCAGAGAAGTCATAGAAAGCTTCCCAGCTTCGAAAACAAAACTTGAAGAGATCAAAATGGAACAGGACAATGATGAGGTTTGTCAGAAAGTTAACAGCTACTGCAAATCTGGATGCTGGCCTGATTACTGCAAGAAAGACCTAAGGCTGAAGCCATTCTGGACTGTGAGACATGAACTTACCGTGGCCCATGGACTACTCCTTTACAATGCAAGGATGGTGATTCCGACATCGATGCAAAAGGAAATCCTACGAAGAATCCATGAGGGTCACCAAGGAGTTGTCAAGTCTCGTGCACTTGCCAAGTCTTCAGTGTGGTGGCCAGGAATTTCACACCAGATCGAAGAGGAAGTACGGAAATGCTCAATCTGCGAAAAACACAGACGGCTATCACCTGAGCCCCTGAAACCAACTGTCACGCCAGATTACCCTTGGCAAAGGGTTGGTAGGGACATTTTTGAGTGGAAGGGCCATGATTATTTGTTGATCGTCGATTATTTCCCCCGATGGATAGAGATAGTCCTTCTCAGAAAGACAACGTTGTCAACTGTGGTTGAACACTCAAAGTCTATATTTGCTAAGTATGGAATACCACAGATTGTCATAAGTGACAATGGACCTCAGTTTGCTTCATGAGAGTTTGCAAACTTTGCAGAAACATACATGTTTGAACATAAAACGAGCAGTCCAAAACATCCACAAGGGAACGGCGAGGCAGAAAGAGCTGTTCAGACAGTGAAAAATCTTCTTCGGAAAGCAGATGACCCCTACATTGCCATTCTCAACTATAGAGCAACGCCACTCAAACAAGGGCAAAGTCCAGCAGAACTTTTGCAAGGAAGACAGTTGAGAACCAAATTACCTAGTCTGCCATCTCAACTGAAACCTCAGGGCCGGAAGCTGAAGCAGTTTCGTTCTGCTGATAAACACATGAAGAACCAGCAGAAGAACTATTTCGATAGAATGCATGGCGGTAAAAGACTTCCGAATTTCGAACGAAACGAAACTGTCTGGATTACAGAACCTAAGCTTGAAAAAGCATCAATCCTCAAACCCTATCAACCAAGAGGGGGAGATGTACATGAGAGGTCTTATCTAGTTGACACTCCAAGAGGGATGAAAAGACGAAATCGATTCCATCTTCGCAGACGAAGCCTTGGTCCGTGTGATGAAGGGAAGTCAACACCTGTGGCTACATCGCTGATCTCAACTCCAAGAGACAGGCTAAGTCAAACAGATGACAGACACCCTCCAGACAATGCTGTTATCGGGACCAAGGCAGGTGGTAATGGCAACAACAAATCATCGTCGTTGCCTGTGACTGCACTCAGGTGTGCATCACCACCAGTGCAACACACCCATAGTGAGCAAACGCAAACATGTTACACAACACGAAGTGGCCGAGAGATTAAACCTCCACAAGAATTAACACTCTAGGGTCGATGTCCTACAGACATACATGCTTTTGCGTGTAACAGAAATTGGCCTTTGTTAGGATGTGTAGCTATACAGCGCTCTGGTCACAACAATTGCAACATACATTAAAGATTAGAAATTTTGCATACACATAAAATGCATAAGAATGCATTCACAGGTGCATTAGACATGCATCCTATTTCAAAGAATTATTGAGTTTTGAAACATACACATTTAGGTGGAATTTCATACTCATCTACTGAATGATACTTTAATTACAAAAGCCCTACACAAGGACATTTGATCAGTGGACATTGAATTTGTGAGGCACTGATAAACTGTTTCCCACTTATCACAAGCAGACCAAGAAATCTCAAGTTCAAGTTCTTGTTTTTATATAACTACAGAAATTCGATGTCTGTTTTTCTGTTTGATCTAATTCTTTGTTTTATTCCTTTAATTTCTTAAAGCATAAAGACTCTGCGGGGTCTATCATCTCTAAAGAATTTAATTGCAATGAGTGTCTTCTGTTCCAAACTCAAGAAAGAGAGATGTGGTATAATCAATTAGCCAACCTGGCATCTACAACTGGTTGTACTACTCGAAAAAATCTTGCTGAGAGTTGGCCTGCTGAACACAATGATGGCTGCACGTATCTGTTCCTTTGTACAGACCGTTCTTTGTAACTTATTGTAAGTGGCTTAAGTTACCCTGAGTGGCCTAAGTAGCCCCGGCTGACAGTAGGTAAAACACCACAGTTACCTACGTTCCCATTGGACCTTTGTTAGCAAGACAAAAACAGCCAAATTTGAAATCAAATTTAAGTTGTCGTATTACTTGTGGCATCTCTGCTTTTTGGGTTAGTTAGGATAAATATTTTATGAGATACTTTCCCAATTATTTTGGCGGTCAGGATTTGTTTTCATTCTCAACTCACAGTTGCCGCCTCGGTTCTTGTGTGACATCTCTATCTGGTTCCTTGTCTCACTTTGATTACCCTGTCAAACAAGGCAGCCTTCGCCCCTGCGTTTATTCATTAAATACTCTCTCTCTCTCTCTCTCTCTCTCTCTCTCTCTCTCTCTCTCTCTCTCTCTATCTCTATCTCTGAAATATGGCAATGAAACCCCGAAAAAATAAACAAAAACAAAAACCCCCAACAAACAAACTGAAAAAACAACATCAAAAACTCTACCTTGCATTTATAAAGGTTGGATACAAATAATTCAAGCACTTTTGATTCTGGTAAAGGAGACTGAAAGGGTGTATTACCAAACAGTTTACATGAAAAAAGACAAGGCAAAACTACCATTATGAAAATCAAAGTAGGCAGCTATTTCAGCAAGCTGTACATGCGCGCTCTTTCTTCCAGTCGTTTGTTTACGCTTTATTCGCGCAGCAAACTGGTGTTTGAATCGGCCTTCTGGAATCAGGGATGTAATTTAGAGAAGCTGCTAGAAGCCTCAGCTGCAATTCTAGTACACCTTCAAGGCTGGTTGAACTGAAAAGAACCACTGCTGATGTTGTGGAGAGAAAATGATAAAGCCATCCTTGCGTAAGTACCCTCTAAGGCTGCAAACGCACTGGCTTCACGTCCCCACGTTTTCACCCATAGATATATAAACCACTACTATCTATTCACTAGATACTACGGCGCGACCGCGAGCCAGCCCTCTCTTCCTTTGTGCTAAGCGAGTGAGGGCTGCTGGACAAATTGAATCGGTCGTCCGCCATTTTTGTTTTTGTTGGACGGCTGGGCCTGACTCAGAGCTCACCAGTCTAACATGAGAGAATAATAAACTAAAGGCCAGATAGTTTTAACACCTTCTGTCGTAAGCTGACAAAACGCCTTTTTATTATGTCGGCGCGAAAAATGTTTATTTGCTAATTCGATAGTCTGACCTGCTACCCTACTTGTGTGAAAAAATCAAAGTGAAACTGTCACTAGTTTTTGAATAGATTAACCATCAAAATTTGGAAGAACGCCTTTTTTAAATGGTTACGCTGACAAAACGCCTTTTTTAAGAGTTCGCTGAGAGAACGTCCCCCCCC